TACTAAGCTAAATGCTCGAGCTCGAGTTATTTTGTCGAGCTCGAGCTCGAGCTCGAGCTCGTCGAGTTCTTCTTTATCTGGCTCGAGCTCGAGCTCGTGTTAATTTTGTCGAGCTCGAGCTCGAGCTCGAGCCCAATCCTTTTTTTTTTTTTTGCTTTTTTTAAATATTATTTTATTATTATTTTATTATTAAAAAATATTTTAAAAAATTACAAAATAAACACAAAATTGTGATTATATATTTTTTTACTATTTGTATTTATTTCTATAATATTTTATATTATTATACATTTTTAAATAAAAATAACATATAAAAAATAAAAAAAAATAAAAAAAAAAAATATTAATAAATCCGGCTCGCGAGCCGGCTCGCGAGCTGATGAACAACTAAAATCGGGCTCGAGCTCGGCTCGTCAGAAAGCTCGAGCTCGCGAGCTCGAGCTCGAGCTCGAAAACCTCGAGTCCGAGTTCGAGCTTTTTACGAGCCGGTTCGTCGAGCTCACGAGCCGGCTCGGCTCGTTTACCACCCCTAGGCGTCATCCTTTGCAAGTGTATTACGATTATAAAGAAAAAACAATAATAAAAAAAATACAATTGTAAAATAATAATGGTACGATGTAGTTATTGTAATTATACCTTCACTATGTTGTATCAATACCATACACCTACATTACATATACTACTAAGCAATACTATATATACTATTTAATTACATCAGAAGAAATGCCATTACCTTTTTTTGATACCTTCTAACTACAATAGCACTACCGTTGTGTAGTAAGACTTATATTATTTAAACACATCTAATGCCCAAAATCAAACCCTTGTTATGACCAAAAATGATTTGGGGAAATACTAATGTGTCAGACGAATGATACCCAAGAGTGAAAGTGTTCAAAATCATGCAATTCAACGGAAAATGAACAACTTTTGCAAACAAAACAAGAAAACAACATTTATTGGAACCAGTTGTTCGATTTTTTTTATTTGAGAAAACCCCAATCTCGCCGTTGGATACTGCCCACTACTGGAAATGTTCAAAATCATTCAATATGAGAACATGCAGTTTGTTTTTTGCTAACCTAAGCAAAAAAACAACAACAAATTTCATAATCAATTCTTGAAAAAAAAAAAAAAAAAAAAAAAAAGCTTGTTTCTCCTTCCCCTTCTTTGCCCGCCCTATTCTTCTACATCGAAAATTATTACTTTACTTTCCTTTGTTGTCTACTTTCCGCCTTGTTGTGGTTATTTATACAAGCAAACAAAAACCGAAAAACCTGAAGAATCGATTGCACGAAGAAAAACTGCTTAGAAACCGCTGAGAAAATGGTTTGAAAATTGAATGACAACGAATAGTTAAAAAGGTGTGGAGCGTGTTTCTCAACCGACGCGTGAAAAAGTAGGTGAAAAGGTTTGTCAGAATTCGCAGGTAATTTCAAAATAAAGTGAAGGGTTTTTCGGACTTTGCACACTAGTTAGAGAGTTAAGTGCATATTTATGTTTGATTTAGGGTCCAATATGCTTAAAAAATGTTGTTGGGGATTGACCCGCACTTTATGTGTGGGTTTAGGGATTTATCAGTATTTGCCCTTAAATGTTAGAGAAATAAATAATAGGAAAATTATAGTGTTCATCCCTCAAATTTGCACCGATTTCACATCTGGTCCCTTATGTTCTCAAAAAACACATTTAGTCCCTCATATTTTAATAATTTAACGTTTTTGGTCATTTCCGTCAATTTATCGTTAGTCTGTCAGTTAAGTCATTGATGGGCATAGGCTTGATTCCGTAAGTTTTTACGGAAATTGACGAAAATAACTAAAAGTGTTGAATTTGAAACATGAGTGATCAAATGTATTTTTTGTAAACATAAGGGACCAAATGTAAAATTGATGTTAATGTGAGGGACTAAAACTATATTTTTCCCAATAAATAATATTGGAAATTAGAGTGAATAATTTTGTCTTCAATTTGTTTCCACTAGCCTTATTTATAGCAATGTGTCACAATGATGCATACACCTAGCCTAGGGATGATAATCGGAATGAAAATTTCGTATTCCGCCTATTTCGATTAATAAATATCCAAATTTGGAACCATATCTTTCATTATATCTTAATTTGGAATAAGATATTATAAATTAACGTAATGTTCCAAATTTTCAACACTCCATCAGTTCCAAGGATTCCGAAATCGAAATGAATTTTTGCATCCCGAATTTCTTGAACGAAATTGGAACCTATTTTTACGTAATTTGTTTTTTAGAAAATATTCCGAAAAAAAGCCATTTCCGACCCATTATTTCCGATTTACACTCCTCCATTCTTAACATTTCACATTTTTAATTGAATTATATTTTTCACATAAAATAATTATATTATATTTATTTAATTTATAAATTCATTAATTAGAAATCAAACATATATTTATTTCTAATAGAAAAGCAAAATAAAATAAAAATAAAAATAATCACAACTTAAGCCCCAGGCGCATCAATCATTTTTAAAAGGGTAAATAGCACTTTACCCCATGTGGTTTCAACTTGTTGCACTTAACCCCCTATCATATCAAGATAGGCCTTTTATCCCCCTGTGGTTTGCACAATGTAGCGGCCGTCAATCTAGCCATTAAAGGTTAACAGAGTGTGCATCTCACTCGCTTGAAAATGACTTGGTTGATTTTTTTTTAGGGTTAATTGCATTTTGCCACCTAGACTTTGCTCATTTTTGCACTTTACCACCTTAACTAAAAAAAGTTGCACGGACCCAAACATTCATTTTTGACGCACATAACCACCTGGAGGGAATATTATGGCGAATCTTTCCACTTTCCGGCGCACGCACGCTGCACATGCCAAAGTACATGGGCTTTTTGTCTTTTCCTTTAACATCCTTCTAAATGCCCTAATTTCGCCCTAATTTTCCCTCCATCTCAATTTCTCCAAGTTTGATTTCCCTCCTCTTTACATCCTCTCCTCTTCTCTCTTCTTTTGTCCGCATTTTTTTTTCCTTTTTCTCCTTGTTCTCTCTTGTTCCTTTCGTTCTTTTGTTTAGATTCTGGACATGTCACAAAGTAGTGGAGTCCATGTCAATAATACATGCTACTGTGCAAGAATGGCAATAATGAAAACATCTTGGACGGATTTGAATCTAGGGAGGAGATTCGCTATATGTCCCAAATATAAGGTATGAATTTCTTGTAAATTTCGTCAATCTTATTTTGAATGCATGGAGGAGATTTGCTGATTTTGAATTCTTATAACGTGTTCTCTTTTTTCTAGCAAATTGGGGGTTGCAAATACTATGTGTGGATTGACCCTCCAATGTGTGACCGATCTCGTAACATAATTCCTGGTTTACTTAGAAAGATCAACAAGTACGAAGATGAGTTGAAGAAGTGTGAAGATGAGTTGAAGAAGTGTGAAGATGATTTGAAGAAGTGTGAAGAACAACTCATTAAGAAGGGGTCAAGGGAAAAATGGTTGTGGATTGCCTTGACAGTTGCAATGTTTTTAGTGTATATGTTTGTTTAAATGTTTAGAACAAGTATTGATCTTTCTATGTTATGTACTTGCCTTCAATTAAGTAGTTGTAATAACTTTTTAACTTTATGTTGTTGTGTAATGGCAATATAGATTTGTAATGAATGTTATTGTATACCTACTGAGTTTTGCATAAGAAAAAAACCTAATCATTTAAAAAGTAACTAAGTGCACAAGAAACAAACTATATAGTCTTAGCAAAATCCAAAATACTACAAAATAGTGCAAAGTCTTACGAAAATGCAAAATACATAGTCTTACCAAAATACAAAATACTACAAAATAGTGCAAAGTCTTACCAAAATGCAAAACAAAGTCTTACTGTTGGTAATAATACCTACACGCAAGTGCACGTATCGTACAAGTAATATAGTGGACTAAAAGTCCGGATATCGAACCCACATGGAATATTTAATTATTTAATCCTAGACGCTAAATCCTACCAATTATTATCAAGCCCACCCACCCTACACAGTCGAATTTTGAGAGAATTAACTAAATTAAACTAAATTAAAAAGAAAATTAAAAAAACAAAAGCACGAAAGCAATTAAAAACGAAGATTTATCAGAGTAAACAAGCCTAGGATTTTATTCTTCCCCCTATGTGATTATTATTCCCCCAATTCCTTCAAGTATGCAAGCAATTAACCCGGATTATTAACCAGAGATGCTAAAATAATCATAACCCGCTTCCCCGTGTATTACGATTCTAATACCCTAGATTCAATTACTATATTCCTATGCAATTAATTCTAGAACACAGTATTAAGCACAAATCTTAATAATGGCTACCTAAGAGATTGACTATATTCCTATGTTAATACCACAAAGGCTCTTCTACCACAGTTCTAATTATTAACCCGATCTTCCGATTCATGCGATTAATAATAACATAAAAGCACATAAGTTGATCAAGTTCATGCACTATATAAAATAAGTCGAAGAAATAATCCGGAATTAAAACTTGCATAAAATCATAGAATTGGGTTCATAAATCCCACATAGGGTTCCAAATAAAATCCTAGAAATAAATAATTTAGCTACTCATGATTAAAGGAAAAACACAAATAAAATAAGTCATAAACGATAAATCTATGCTTAGAGTCTTCGAATTCTTCATCTTCGTTATTGCTTTGTTGCTCTTGAAATTGCCTAAAAAGATCCCCAATTGTGTGCTTGGCTTGGTCTTATATAGGGTGAAGAACTTGGGAAAGAAGGCAGTTTCCTTGTGCAATTAAAATCCCTTTACTGCGCTGCCTCGGGGTCTCGGACGGCCGTCCCACAATTTGAACTAAAACTCAGACGGCCGTCCGAGCTTTATATCTTCAGAATTTTGATTTTTTCACTTTTGGCCCATATTTTCTCCAAAATTGCAGTTTTGACCCCATACTTTTCCGATTCTTCAATTTGTACCTAAAATACAATAAATAAACTTTTTAAGCACCAATTATCATTAAAACACACCAAAAGCTCAAATAAAAAGGTACGATAAAGTGTAAAATATACACTTAACACACCCCCAAACTTGAACTTTTGCTTGTCCTCAAGCAAAATCTAATCGTAAGCAAATAACTTAACTACTACATCTCATTACATAGATCAATGATCAACTTCACGTTTTCAGAACTTGTAATTATAATGACAATTCTTAGGCATTCGCAAGCTGAAAATTCAACAACACTTAGTCACTCACCATTACCAAAACCCACAATTCATACAATTGCTTTAAGCATCCAATATTTGCAAATTAAAGATAGAAAGAATTTATACTTACATGCATATATTTGACTCCAAATACTCACCAAATTATTCTACTCTACTAATATCGAACATTAAGCTATTGGGATCATTGGGGCTTTGTGGCTTCCAATTGTTAGGCTCTTTGGTTCGAGGTAGGAAATATGGGTATATGTGGCTATTATTCTTGAATTGAGGTGATTACGCCAAAATTTGAAAGATAGGCATTTGAAACAGTGAATTCACCTCTAAGGGCTTTAATAAACTCGATTCTTAAGAGTTCAAAAGTCTCCACTTTTGCTATTAAGACGATGGATCGAACTTTCAAAACAATTCAACAACTAGTCCTTATTTCTCCCTTCTAGTCTCTTCTTCTTTTTTTTTTTTTATTTAATATATATATATATATATATATATATATATATATATATATATATATATATATATTTATATTTAGAAGCATATGGATTTATCTCTTTTTTTTTTGCGAAGAAGAAGAGGGACCTTATAAAAATTTGCGAGCGAACTTCAGGGGTTAATTTTTCAAGAGTCTCCACTGTTCTACCTTATACACATGGCTAAAAGAAAGAACACCTTTTCTCCGAGGCTCAAATCAAGGTTCTAAGGAATTTCGATATAAATGTTGGCTTGAAAGGCTCAAACGGTTCAAAGAAGGCCCAAATCATATCCCAAATCACTCACTACTCAATACTTCGTATCATAAATTTCCTAAGGTGAGTTTTAAAACCGAACATAGCATGATCTAGCACAAATTATTTCCAAATTTAAAATACAAAACATTCAACCAAAGCAATGCACAAAGTGTGATTCCTAGCAATAATTCGCTTCTAAGTCCCGTTGAATCGAAAGCTAAACAAACATCTAATCCTTATCACACAAAACAAGCTCTCTCATCATCAAACATTGATCATCTCTCATCATCATAAATCATTTGATGCTTTCGACTCACGCCAAATAATTCTTTTATTATTTTTTTTTTATATTT